TAAAAGTGGGCAACTGGGTGAGAGGGTGGGCATGGAGGGAGACTGTAGATGTGTGAGGCTGTGACATCTGATAAGACGATGTTAAACTTCATTTCTAATATGAATTTCAAGATATAGATCATTCATGAAGGAGAGATAAGGTTCAGGGCTTACCCCAGGCAAGCAAAGGACCCCAAATGTTAAACGTTTTAAATGATTTGGTTAAAGCCTGATGTGAAGCTAATGCCCAACAGCTGTGTGTGTTTTCTACAAGCAGAAACTTGAGAGCCTCCAGTGGCTGTGTGTGTGTCAGCTGTTGTCCCTGCTGCTGTCAGACGACAGAGCTGAAGTGTGTGTGAGGGACGGAGTGTGTGTGCCTACAAGGACGGGAGTGTGGGGTACTAACAGGTGGTCCTCAGGGTTTACTTGAATGGATGTTTTCTTCACAGAAGAACCCCGACAAAGAGTCACACAGCCAGCCGTAACCTAAACCGCTGGGCTGGTCCCGCTTTAACACAGCCGTCATCTGCAGGCCGGCAGGGTTTAGTGACACGCTTATACTCTCACATGCACAGGCCAACATATGGAGGTGGCTTTACACACACACACACACACACACACACACACACACACACACACACACACACACACACACACACACACACACACACACACACACACACACACACACACACACACACACACACACACCCCACACACACACACACACACTCTGTCCCATTAGTTAATCTCTATTGAATGCCACGTTTTAACAAAGTATTTTGCACTGTATCTGCCATGCAAACAATTACCACCAACATTGCTGCGAGGCAACAATGACGTATCTAATCTCCTCTGATTTGTGTCACCAAGTTGTTAAATATTTGTTCAAATTGTCCTCTCGGTGCTCTGTAAGCAATTTGTGGCAGCCTCTGAGCAGTAAAGTACAAAAAGAAAATCAACCCATTCTAAAGTAGGTCTGCGCAAAATCATTTGGTTTCTATTTTATTTGGAATTGTTAAGGCCTATAAAATGTCGAAAAACAGTCAAAATTAGCGATTAAAACACAAAACCAGAGATGAAGTCTTCATTGTGCTTTTCTGTTGATTAATTATGATTAAACACCCCTCAACATATAAAAAGGGGGCGGAAATACCTTTTAACAAAAGTTAGGTTTCCCTCTGCTTCAGAAGAACTTGTTTGTGTACCCCTACACACAAACACACACACAAGCAGGCATGAACACAAAGAGGTAGTCAGACTGTTTTACAACCATGTACAAGCACACACACACTCGTTGCTGGTCCTAATCCAGTGGTATGCGCTGAGTTGTTTAGTGTAACAGGTCAGCATTGTTCAGCAGTGATATTCACGACACATGTGCCTCGGGTCAAAGGTCAAATAGTCTCAGCTGCACTCAGAAGCGCGTAATGTGACGGTTGAACCGCTGTGATAGGTGTGTGTGTCTGTCTCTGGCAGCTGTGCAAGGTCTTCAGTCTGTGTGTGCAAATGTGTGTGTGTGTGTGTGTGTGTGTGTCTGCTTCTCTTCACTGTAGTCGATAGAAAACTGGGAACTTCTACTGTACACATCTCAAGAGTTAAAGCCCTTCTTTTTAGACACGTTGATGTGGACTGGATAGCATTGATTACATGTACCACTTAGTCAGTCAGCAACCATTTTCAAAGCCACTGAACTTCATTTTAAATTCTAGCGGAGATGCCAACGTTTACGAATAGGCAAAGTAGGTCAGGTTGATTTTCATTTTTGAGAGAACTACACAAAAACCTGCGCAATGTATCAAAAGATCTAGACAAGTTTTATTGTAGAATTTCTCAATCAGTCTTTCATCAGGCATGCTCACACACAACACAACTCAAAAGGATGGCATTTTTTTCCTCCAGCACCTGGATTTTTGCTACCCTCATAATAATTGTTTTAGTAAATCTGTATGGGAAATGCACAAGATATTTAGAATATTCCCATTTGTTGAATTGATGACAACCTATAGTTGTTGGTTTGAATATTCCCCCCTGTGTAAACATAGCTATAACAAAGAGCTGGGAACAAGCTGGTACAACATATAAACACAGAGTACAAACAGATATAGACAGTAAAAGCAGCAAAAGGAAAATAAAGGTCGTAGGACTGGTAAAAAGTGTCATATACCATGTAGTCAGAAAACAATCTCATACACTATGTGGTCCAAAAGACAGGAAGCTTCAATATATTTCCAGTGCAACACTCCCTCTGCTGGAGAGAAATGTCCCTGCAGCTTTCATTCATAAACCACCTGTCACCACTGCGTTTACTTTCATTTAAAGCCTGTTTTTCTCTACCCTCCAGGGCCCCATCATTCCTCCTTCTATCTTTGAGCCCCCCAGCGCTCCCTCCTGTCCTCCCCCCCCTCCCCCTCCTCCCCCCGGCCCACCTCCGGTCTTCACTGATGACTCCCAGCCTCAGGCGGGCACCCCCCCCTCACTCCGCACTGTTCGCCCAGCTCAACCAAGGCATGGACATCACTAAAGGTGGGTTGAAGAAAGGTTATAGTAAAGCATGGACTAAGTATTATACAAATTTGACTTTTTTAGAGAGACTTAAATCAATTAAACTAAAAGGAATTAAGTGTGACAATTAACAATGATACGCTTTTTTTGTGATAGTCTTTGTATTTACTTTTAGTCTATGTCCCCTATATCTTTTTATTATTTTCCTATCTTCCATTTGGCATTTTTTTGTTATTGTGTTAGGACTTCTATGTTGTGGTTTGGTTTTGTTGAAAACTGGACAATTAAATTAACTTTATGTTACAATAAAACGTTTTTGTTTTTTTCCACAGGAATAACACATTTTACATAATGTTTTCTTTGAAATGTGTTTGTTTAAAATGTCTGAGGTAGTTCACACATATATAAATTCATTCTTACATCCCTGCATGTGCAAATACACTTCCATTTGTTTTAATCTATAGGTCTAAAGCATGTATCAGAGGAAAAGAAGACCCACAAGAACCCAAATCTGCATTCGCAAGCAGCACCGACCAAAACAAAGTCTCCGGGGAACATGAACTCCTCCAAGGCAACCGTCCAGAAAAGACCCCCTCTGATGATGCTGGATGGGAAGAAATGGAGGGTGGTACGTCAAATGTTTCTCTAAGAGAGTAACCTTTTTGTATGATGGTATGTCACATGTTATTGACTGAATCCAATCCCTTGTGTTGTAGGAGAACTTTGAGCAGAAACACGACCTGGTCATAGAGGAAACGGAGTTAAAACAAGTGGTCTACGTCTTCGGCTGCAAGAACTCCACCCTGCAGATTAAGGGCAAAATTAACTCCATCATCATTGGTGAGTGGCCTGAAAATAGACTGGAAATGTGAGATTTAATGAATCATTTCTGAATATGACTTACTTTACACGTATCATCTCTCTCCAGACAACTGCAAGAAGCTGGGTTTAGTTTTTGAGAACGTGGTTGGGATTGTGGAGATCATCAACTCCAAGTCAATTCAAATACAGGTGAGAAACACATGTATTGGATTTCAGATCCAACATTCCGGCATTACCTGCTTGAACAGATGTATTCACATATGATGGCGAAATGTTTGAGTTTGGCAGCAGTTCTCCTGATTTCAGGTGATTTTCGATTATTTGTGCACCACATGAATGCAGCATTACAGCAATGATGGCTACCATTTAGCTTCGCTTTGTATGTGAGCAGCAGCTGTGCTATATTCTCATTCAGTGTCAGGTGGCACTTGTTTTCATTGTATTCTGTTACAAAACTTTGCAATCAGTTTTATTTTTATATCAGTGCATATTTTGCCACATCAGTCATCTCGAGATGTCTTTCTCTAGGTGTTGGGAAAGGTTCCCACCATCTCCATCAACACGACAGAGGGCTGCCAGGTCTACCTGAGCAAGGACTCTCTGAACTGCGACATCGTCAGTGCCAAGAGCTCCGAGATGAACATCCTGGTACCACAAGACGACGACTACGTGAGTGTCTGAGATAGAAAGGGACAGGGGAGGGATCTGTGTGAACTGGGAAGGTTCTTCCAATCAGATCTTTTCATGCAAAGGCACATTGCAATGAATAAGAAACATTCTCAGTATGCATTAGACTTTGTGTTTCATAATTTATGAAAATATAATTAAATAATAGTTTTTTCTTCTTTGTTGTACCACAGAGGGAGTTTCCAGTACCGGAGCAGTTCAAGACGGTGTGGAACGGCTCCAGACTGGTGACGGAGCCCACTGAGATGGCAGGCTGATGGACGCTTCATTATCCTCAGCATTTGTTTTTATCTTTTTTTTTTTAAAATATTCTCTCCGTCTAAAATACAAAGGGATTACTGCAACAGATTCTCTTTTGGTCTGCTCGTTGTTTCTCAATTTGTATGTCATATCTCTGTAGCACTTTGAAACTATTAAGACAAGTTGAACCAGTGATAATAGGTTTATTAATTCCTCACTACAAAACACCATCCCCACACAATAAATAGACAGCTCAGGCTTAAGTCCCACAAACAGTGGTGTGTTTACCTTTTCTTACATGTCTGCGCACCTAGCAATGATAGGCATTATGTAACAAGCCATTAATATTTTCAACATTATAACCACTGTGCTCTTTTTTAATTCACTATCTGAGAGTTAAAGCACAATTTAGTTCACCAGCAGATACATTATTCTAGAGAAACTGTTACATAATGTTCACAAACATCATCTTGGAGTTAAGTTTGGGACAATGTGGTATTATTTCCATCAAATGAAGTGTGTCCTTAGGAACTCCTTAATGTGCGTCATGAAGTACTGTACTGGCAGTCTATATATATGCAGTATAGTCAGTCAGCAATTCACTAACTTCTATGAATATTTAGACATCAAGTTACAAGCACTGCACAATTTGTAACTCTTAAAATTGATTGTAGTAGTAAATATCCACTTGAGCACTTCCTACTCTATCACTTTGTAGCAATGTATCACATGGCACCAGCATATGTAAGAGACGTTTACACCACTAATGCTTTTCAAAACGTTTAATTGACATGAAACAACTTGATGTTATTGTGTATCCTTTTTCAAATAAAACCAAAACCCTCAGTTCTTGCTTGTTGGTGTTATTGCAAAAGAGAACAAGATATTTCACTATCAGAGAGCAGAAATATCACAAACACGACAAGGAAGCTCCAAAATGAAAAACAGATAAAGGACTAAAACATCAAGATGAATCCACAATATTTACAGATAAAGAGAGGTAACAGATTTAAGTTTCAATATTTTCATTTAAGTAGCTTTTAAGTCAGTGCGGGTCATTATGGAAACAAACAGTATAATTTAGCTTTTTAAAACTGTTTCAGTACTTGGGAGGAGACAAAAAGTGGAGATCAATTATCAAGATTATAAGCTCAAATAACATGTGTGTCAAAGGCTTCTTTCAGTGTTTGATCACCATATTTCCCTCAGAGTCTTGAGTTCAAGAGCATCTCGTCCTCCTCCTCCTCCTCCTCCTCCACCAGAGATGTGTAAGCGTCGTTCTCCCGTCCCAGAGTTAGTGTTACTCTGATCTTTGAGTGGACTCCCTGGTTTGCAGACCTCTGTGTGCGATCACCCTGAAAGCCTTCAAGAGTCCTGAGTTGAACAACATGGCCAGACTTGTTCCTCCGTCAACCTCCCTGCAGGACTGCTGTGGCGCTCGTTTTTTTAAAGGAGTGCTTGGCTTTGTCCACTTGAACTGTGACTCAGGGCTCTCCTCTTTATCAGCCCTTTTCCACGGCTGCACAGGAATAATGTTTTTGAGGTGATGCACTTTTTGGTTCTGTCCATTTATGATAAGAAAGAGGTTCAATATGAGAGAGAGCCGAGTGCTTTTTTGGGGACATAGAAGACCCAACCCTGCCGTTTTCTTTCTAATCGTCCATCTGAGAAGAATGAGTGTTTTTCAAGGATTTTTGAGTCGAGGCTACCTTCCACATCGATCTGAATACCAAAGGCATCCTCACTTTGTAAACTGTATGGGAAACTTGGCTCAGAATTCTTCCCTGTAGTTTTTTTCTCATATCTCTGGTCACATTTCATCGTCATAATATTGGCTAAATGTGAGCAGCGGATCCTGACTCCACGCCTGAGGAGGAGGTTGACTGTCAGCTGGAAAAAGAGGAGGCTGCAGTGACCCTCCTCTACTACTCTGTGGTGGATTTATGCTCTCAAACGCTCATCTCCATATTCACGGTCCATGTTTTGAGAATGTGTGTGACTTGCTTCCTGCCACTCTAACGCTTCAGGCTCAGCCACATTTTCACTTTCCCCACTCATGATAACACACAAGGGTCAGAGTTGTGTAAGTCAGATATTTCAAGATCCATCTCACGCTCTTCGTTTTGTTCCCGATAAACACAGGCGTGGGTGCAGTGAGGGCATGCGTGGATGAGGCGGGCTGATGAAGAAGGCTGCAGATGATCTGTGTTTGGCACTTCAGAAGTTGTCATCTTATTGAGAACTTCAGGACAGAATGTGTAGAAAAAAATGAATATGTTAACACTGGTCGATGTGTTTGCTATATCCCATAATTGAAGTCGTTTTAAATTGTGGCCAGTTTTTATGATTTATAATAGTTTCTTTTATTTGCATATTGACTGGTTAATGTGCCATTTAATTGTGTTTTACGACCGCTGTATTCGTCTGCCTGTATTGTCTGTGTTGTATCTGTTGGAACTTTGTTTCATGCTGCCCTTCTTGGCCAGGTCGCTCTTGAAAAAGAGATTTTAATCTCAATGAGACTTTTTACCTGGTTAAATAAAGGATATGTAACATAGAAAAAGGCTGTTTAAATATAAACATTCAATTGAATGGCCTGATTTAACATAAGATGATATCTATCCTAAGAAAATGTCTTGACAACCTGATGGCAGTAGGGATCTTGCAACATACCTCTGCGCTGAGCTGTGAAGAAGGTGGATAAGCGCTCTGTTTTGTCTTCGGCATCTCCATTTTGGTCTGAGTGAAGTTGAGTGCCACCGACAAACTGTATCCCCTGCCCTCAGTGAAGGGATTCAGCAGCTTAGAAATGGGACGAGGAGCTCGTTTCTAAAACACAAGATGTAAAAAAAAGGTAAGTAAAGATCCTACTAAGATACTCACTATTAAATGTCTTGATTCACACCTTTATTTAGAGAGCTAGCAAAATAGCTATTCAGTCAGAATTTAAAAAGCTAGTTTCCAAACCTGCTTAGCTTTTCCTTTCAGCTGCACAGTGTCCAGCCAAACTCCACACTCCTCCTGGGTGGAGGTCTGTAGAGATGGTTTGGAGGGTTCTTCATGGCCAAGAGGGGAATAAAGCTCTGAAATACATTCAACAAAACAAAATAATGTTGTTAAATAAGGAAATCTAGAAATCATTGCATAACAAATGTAAAACATTGATACCACAGTTTGTCAAACAACATGTAACATTTACGAAATTATGAAATGAATGAATTACTATTTGCACTACATCGACAGTAATATACAGTTTGCTTTAAGAGCATATCCCGTTTCGATTTGTTATTGTTAATTTAATCACACCATCATTTTAACACACTTTCTAACTAAGGAACAAACCGGTGTTAACTATCAGCTAGCACCATCGCTAACAGCTAACGTTAGTGATTTGTATTTATAAATGCCTTACTTTAGCTCTCCTTATAACACAAGTGTCATTCAGATTTGAACTGACCTCATAAAATGGCTCTGGATGTTTCTAGCGGTTCGTTTGTCCTTCTTTAAACTTTTGTAGCTTAGACTTTACTATCGTTTCTTTCAGAAATGTATCCTCGTTCCGTTTGTTTGATGATCTCGCGCCTCGGTGATGTGCTGCCGCTGATTTCGACTGGGTAAAAATTATAAAATATAAACGAATCTTAAAATAGTTGTTTTACTCTGAAGACTTTAAAAACGATAGATGTAAATATCACAAACACGAACCGTTTAATTTCAATACGTCATTATTAATCTTTAATTAAATATTTGGTTTTCTTTTAGGCACAATGGACACCTAATATTTTTTGACGTATTTGGGTCCTCGCCTGTTTACGCTGACGTCACAGCAGTTTGCCGAAGGGGTGAGTTTAAATGTCTTTTAATTTCGTTTGGTTAAACACTGATAGTGAATATAATGCGAGCCTTGACATGTTACCTCACAATAATGGGCACGTATAGAACATTATTGTTTACGAACAATAGCTCTATCGTCCAATTATAATCAATCATAACGGAAGTGCTTACGAGCTAGCTAGAGAGCTAACTTCAGGCTAGCTAGTTTGGCAAAACAAGACATTGAAAGCTGGTGATTATCTTCGTTAAGAATGTTTTTCTCTAATTCTTCGTCGATCAAAAACGTATTTGAGTGAAACAACGATTTCTAGTCAACACGGCAGCATTTGTAAGCTATGTATTGTTTAACTAATGTAGCTAACCTGTACTTATTAGATATATGGTATTTACAGCGAACAAAGTCTGGCTTTTCATAGATTTTGCTCAACAATTATTATTATTATGGTGTTGATCTGTTTAATTGAAAATAATATACCTCGGAACATCGCCCCAAAGCTGTGCTTAAAATAAACTAAGGTTGAGAATAATTGTCCCTTCTTAAAAGTATTGTAACACAATTCCAACATTACTGGGGACCTGTGATGTTTATCTAAACTCCATTTATTAATCGATTGTGCTATACATGTCTCTGAACACTTGCCCAGAGCCAAGGTGACGAGCCCCATAAATCATTTTGCATTCGGCTTAACAACACACTTATTTTAAATGTCTCAATCTTTGTGTAAAATTGTGCCTGAAAGATTCTTTCCAAAAGGTGGATGTTTTACTTTGTGAAAAGGTTAATCGGTATGATGCTTCTCCTGAGTAACACGTTTATCACAAAGAAACTATAATAACACAAACTAAGGTGCCTCATCAATATCAATTTCTAAAAGTAATAATACAGAACATATCTTTACGGTAATGTCTTTAGTCGGGACAGTCCCTGCCAGGTATAATAATAGTAAATTAATATATTTTTTTAATTTGTAAATGGTGGGAAAGTTTACTTTCTCTGTAAGGATAGATTTGCCTGGATGTGTTTAGTCCATAAACTACATATACATTGTTGGCCACATTTATCAGTCAGTTTTGAGTCACATTATAACATAAATCTCATTTCAGATCAAGGACTGACACATCGGCATCATGTTCCATGGCATACCAGTTACAGGAGGGGTGGGAGGAGGTAAGTCATTCTAATAAATCCAATGACTTCTAATGATGTATTCAAGTTGTTAAATGATCCTCCTTTCAACAGTAAAGTACAGTTTGTGTCACTCAAAGCATGTCATCTTTTTTTTCCACAGCTCCGGCAAACAAGCCTGAGTTATATGAGGTAAATGTAACAACTTTTATTGTGCTTTATCAATGATTTGGCAAACAGTATTTGTATAAACCCTAGAGCAGCACAATGATTAATGTATTTTAAATTATCTGTAATATATTATTTTTAATTGTTCTGGGGAAAATGTGTTAAACATACAATTGTATGGAGTGTGCTACTCCAAGGCATATTTGTATTAAAACCGTACAAAAAAAGTAATATTCTACTAGTAAATAAATTACAAATCATATATTTTCAGGAGGTGAAATTGTACAAAAATGCAAGAGAACGAGAGAAGTAAGTGTCCTATTTATGACCAATTGCCAGCCTTATCTGAACACAGAGTACCCCAGGGATTCATCATACTGTTAGTGTTGTAACACATTTCTTCCCTGTTTCTGAAGGTATGATAACATGGCAGAGCTGTTTGCTGTTGTCAAGACCCTTCAGGCTCTGGAGAAGGCTTACATCAAAGACTGTGTCACGCCCAATGAGTGAGTTGTGATTGAGTTTATAAGTTGTAGGCCTGCTTTAAATGCTATATGGTTATATGTCATTTATAGTGCTGTTGGACTGCTGCTAGATCGCCCCTTGTATACAGGTGTAGTGTTATTCCCATCCTCTTCGTCTTTTTTGAAACAATTAACACCATCAAATATGGATTGAAGCAGAATATTTAATTAGATACTTTAGTGTATAATGTTCAAATTTTGGAAATGTTTACCTTTTTTAATATAATATTGACTTTTGGGCTTTATAACTCTGTGGAGTGTGGAAATGTTGGGATCACACAAGTTGCAACTCATATTAGGTTTCTATGTTGTTTTTAACGTGCAGTATTCTGTTCCAGGTACACCGCCTCCTGCTCCAGGCTGCTGGTCCAGTACAAGGCCGCCTTCAAACAGGTGCAGGGCTCTGATGTGGGCTCCATCGATGATTACTGCAGAAAGTACAGAGTGAGTTTATCTTTTGGAGAGCAGATGATTCAATTAACTATTTAACGTTGTGAACATTTTCACAAATGGGCAATGCAGGTGTTCTACCAATTGTTCTACCAATTGCAGTTATATATATATATATACATACTGTATGTTGTTCCTATTATTTTTCTTAGTAAATTTTTTACTTTTTTCTTTTCTTACATAGCTCGACTGCCCACTAGCCATGGAAAGGAT